GGGTGGTTCGAGTTAATTTCGATAGCCGCTTCTGTGGTCCGTGGTTGCTGCGCGTTTGGAGCCACACGTGTTTTGTTTTTAGTTTGCCAGTAACGGAATCGCAACATGCAACGGAGAATGATCACATCACCTAACGGTTAGATTGCATTGGAAAGACGAATTGAAGAATCTTAATTATCCAATTCCGCGAATATCTCAACGGGGACAAAGGATACGAACTCTGCACTGATTGAATAAACCAAATCAAGCCCGGTACTAAAATGCTACCCTAGAAGAAGCATAAGCCACATGCACACTTTTGACACTAAGCGTCATAACAGCGGCGGATCACAGAACCAACTGCGGAAATCAACCCAGACCACACTACAGAATGTTCATTAGAGATGAGCCGAGTCGTCGGTACTTGTCAGTCATCCGAATGACCAGCTGATGTGCGCGCGTTGTGAATAAATAAACCGTTATTATACTTTTTTAGTTTTCAAACTCAATAGCATTAATATGATTTAAGGAAAACAGCTGGTCCATCAAACAGTAGGCCGGAACCAACGTTTTTATGAATGTCTGGCGGAGCATTTGTAAGGAAAAGTAGATGAAGGTTTTCAACTCTCAGTATGTCGTTGTTTGAAGCAGCAGGAAGTTTTAGGGAAATAAGGGGAATTTTCTGTTCCTACTGCTGCTTTAAATGCTGGTTCGCGACAGGTGCGACGAACCCTACCCACTTACCCCGGGCAAAGTTCGTATTCTCTGTTGCAATTGGCACAGTCGCGTCACTGGGTAATTAGAGAATCTTTCAGTTGCGCCAGTTCAGGCAGACACGGACCGAAACGGCGATGCTCCTCTACCATCGACCAGACCAGTTATCTGCGTGGTATTTAACTAAACCCTGTTTACTACGCGTTTTACCCTGCGAGCTGATCAGCATCAATTTCTCGCCGAACGTCCGCAGCAAGCGGACAGAATCTGAATAGCGCATCAACAGAAGCAGCAGTTCCGTCGCATAACCGGTACAAGCCGACTTCTTCATTTTATCGTCCCATTCCGAGTCCCCTGAAACGAGTGATTACAGCAACACGTCGATCTAGATCGACCAGTCACATACCAGTGAGTTCGATGAATGGCAAAATGCTGTCGGCGTTCTTCTCGAAGCCTAATAGACGCACAACAGCCCTGCGGCCTTCGTGCTCATTGGTCTGGTCAAAGGTCAGCACGTATAACGAATGCAGGGTGCTGAGCACGGCTTGGTTGTCCATCTCGAGCTGTACCAGACCACTGCTGTGGTAATGCATCAGAACGTCGATCAGTTGCAAAGCCTGCAGATTGTATGCCAGGTCTACGCCCAAACTCAAGTAGCAAGTAGGTTCTTCCTCGCGGTTTTCATCCTGCAATTCGTTATTCATAAACCAAAATACAGCCTAATTACAATACCAGAATTTTTCCGCTAATCATTCGAAATAATTAAAACTAAACCCTTTTCTAAATTATAACAAGGAAAAAGGGCACGGACTTTTTAAAGAAAAAATCGATATGTTGATCTTCTTAACAGTTCGGTGATAGAATGGATATTACTCACACAGTTCATCATACTGTAATGGAGCGGGTAGCTAGAAGGACTGTTAAAATAATACTGATCAGTATTCAACATTAGATGCATAAACTGCACGGATGAAAAAATTCACCGCCAATAGAATATAACAGCTGAACAGAAAGAACGTGCAATTAACAATGAACACAAATCACGATCCACATTAAACTTTAACGGGTGGTCCCAATTTAAGCAATAAACTCCGTAAAAAACGATGAATGGTGCTCTCCAGGTTGCTTTTTACTAGGGCCCTGAACCAGTGGAGTGACAAGTGCCTATGCGTCACAAATTCTAACCGACAAGGATCGCTGCAGAAGAAACTGAGGCAGCAGCATGACGCAAGTAATCGATAATCAAGCTTTTCTCACCGACTGTTGCAGCAGGACGTTAAGAATTTGCTTCGTCGTTTCCTGCTGGGAAGCCAAAAAAATGACGCCACTGTTTTGGCTCAGCAACTCCAAAAACAACGCTTGAATCACAGAAGCCAGGCACGGGTTATTGGCACACTGAGATGTCAGCAGAACAAGCAAAGAGTCGAGTAAATGCCTAAAGAAAACATTAATTGCAAAAAAAGCAAGGAAAACAAACACTAGAAAAACACCTCATCCCACGCGTGGCCGTTCAACTGGCCTTACATAACTTTATCGAAGTAGACAATTTTTAGTTTCACACATAGAATGAGAAATATACGAGAGCAGTAATTTTCAGGTGCTTTATACATTTTTGAATAAAAGCTATTTATCCAGCTTTCTTTTTCTTACGATACTTCTGGGAACTTCCAAAATAGGGAAATCGTGAGAGGACCACTGCATGCTATTGTAAATACAACTGGACATATTTAAATAATTTCCAGGAAGTTGATCCTCTCAAATCGGAAACCCAAAAGTCCAACAGTAAAAAACAAGCAGTTTCATCAATGATGTATAGCATTCAATATAACCTTTTGAGGACTGAATCTGTTTAACACCTTTGCAGAAGGAAAACCATAGAAAAGGGTTGCCTGAAATGGAACATTATGCCAGGGTGAAGAAAGATGAAGTGTTTACCTGAAAGGGTGAATATTTTTCACGATTTCAGTACAGATTGATTAGTGAGGAAATGGCAGTCATAGGCGTCAATTTTAAGTCAAGATAGAAGCCTTAACATAAAGCAAAAACTGAATTTTCCTACATGAAATCGAAATCAGGGTTACTTTGTAATGATTATTACAAATATCAACTAATGATACTCAACTATCAGGGAAGTCAAAGCGAAATACAGCCATATGGAGCGGTCAGCGACGTACACTTCATTCATTCTGACATGAACAGATTAGAATATCCTGTTGTCCCTACTCATCGCAAGTCAACGACTTGTCGCTCGTTTCTCAGGTGATTGCGACGAAGCAAAATACGTTAATTCGCGGATAACGTTGGATCTCCAACAGATTCTGACCGGGCACCTGGAGTTCAAACCGGACTTTTTACCCTCATAAAGATGGTAAATCATGACCAAAATGGTACGGTACAAAATCGGTTTCAATCGCCCTCAAAATCGAACATTCGACTGCCAAACGCAGGGAAGACGAACAAGCTGCTAATTTAAGGTACATCTTCACAAAACTCAACAATGCGCGAATTTGCTGCCGTTTATTCGGTCTAAGTGCTTGCTTGTGCGTCTGGTTAAGATTTCACTCATGAGATGTCTAAAGGGATTACAACATCCTACAGCGTCTTGTGAAAATTTTCAATTGCTTCCTGCCCTGCATACTGTCCGTTGTGAATACAAGTTAATCCTTTGTCGTACTAAACTTGAAGGGTTTCGATAAGTACGACCCAACTCAGTTATAGTCAATTCGTTGCTGATACCATCCAACCGTGAGTTTTTGGATCTACTCAGGGCCATTTACGGTACAGGTTCGGCACATTACGTATCATGATGTTGACAAGCTACTTGTCCTTCTGTCGTAGTTCATGGCCGATGAGAGGGAGAGTTTTAATTTATTTCTTTAGAAGGAAAGTTAATACGAATCTCTGTTCGATGTATTCCACTTGTAATTTTTCAAGTATCCTCGGCCAAATTCAACATCTGTGATGTTATTAAGCAATCCGTAGTATAGAGATATTAGTTATTAATAAATTAGAGTATTCTGCGCAATCATCAGCGTTCCACTGTTCCTGGCGCATTGGTTTCCATCTTGAAAATGGTCCGTGTTGTTGCGACGTCCTGGTTTAGAGAGTACAAGCATACTGAAGAAAATCGTCCATTCACGGATGAAAGTAGCAGAAATAAGGCACGATCAAAGCACTGCTAATGCAACGGCTTGATATCGTTCAGAACACGGGAACGAATGATACTATAGCATGTGAGCGTCTGTTCTCCAAATCGATGGGTCGGAACTGCCATAATTTCGACAGGTAGAGTGGTGGGACAAAAGGCACAAATAACAACTTTTCCGGCAACGCCACACAAGTGACTGTTCAGGTGAGGACACAAGATCAGATAAATAGGACATATTGCAACAGGAAGTCTTCCAGCAAGAAGATTCAATCATGAGGGAAGATACTTCAACTTGAGAACAATTTTGGCAGTATGGTATTTGGTGTTTTCATATCGGAATGGACGAAAAGAACGCCCTTGCTGTCTGATTCGATCGCCACTTAGGACTACGAATTGCCTCATTCGCCTGATAGCTTACGATTCAGTGAAACAATCAGCACAAGATGAAAATAAAAAAACACCCGTTTTTAAATATGCAATAATTTGTCTTCCATCCATTTCGTTGCAGAATCAAAAGATAGAAAGGGTTCTCACCACAAATTCATTTTTGTGTCATCAAAAAACAAAGGTTGCACCTTATGAATATGCTGAAAAGGTAGTCATCAAGATACCACAATCCAGCTACGTTTCTGGCACGTGTAAACCCCCGGGGAAATGCTTTTCACAACCCCCATGCTTTCTCTGATAATACCTGATCAGCTAATGTACCTTTTCTCATTTCGTAAAATGAAAATTTCACTAAGAAAATTTCAACTGGTAATGAAAATTTTCGGAAGAGCAGGTTCGCTGCTCTACATGAATGTCAAAAATGTTGTGGTAGAAGGAACAGTAAGATCTGTATAAAGATTGGAAAACCTACTCTAACCGACTCTCTCCATCCCCAGCACCTGCCTTGTTCAAAATTCAATTCGAGGTATCATTCCACAAGGTTCCAATATGTCTGCATCTACGCCAGGACTGACTAAGAAAATCTCTCATCCCGCACAAAGCTGGCATCTTGCAAAACGAGGAATAGATAACCGTTGAAATTGCTCGAATCGATTCTCTAACGTTAATCTATAAATTTAAACATTCATCTGCGTTAATCTTCAGTCAACCACCGTTTAATGCTCACCATTCTTTCTTCTTTATTTCATTAACATGTATCTTGTTTGTTGTTGTTTGTGCATTACAAAACGGGTCAGTGATTGCTGAAATGTCAGTCGGTGCAAATCTGACGTGCTTTTTTTCGCTAATTTAAGCAGTTAACTCATTTGATTGATTGTTTCAAAAGATAAAAACGTTATCATCTATAGGTATTTGTCTTGAGCACTTTCTGTCGATGATCGCTTCGACAGCACGCTTTGCAGGTACCACGTCAATGCTTCCGCGAAAAATACGCAAACATTTGATAGGGCGGCGCCATATAACAATCATAAAATTAGTACTTACCCGGCAAGGAACATTTGATAAATTGATGGATACGGATCTTCTTGGTTCGGCAATAAGTCGAAAATTACCGATGCTGGTACCGACCGCCTCGGCTGAACCTAAAATCTCGTATATTAAAGGCCACTTTGCGACGGGACGTAGAAATCATACGTACCAAGATTTCAGCAGCGTTGCGGTAGAGCAGGACAATTTCGAGAATCATGTCGCACAGCTCGGATACGCATTTGTCAGGCTGTTCAGCCGAAATGTCCGGACGAGAGGACGAACCAGCGTTGGCTGCGCACTCGAAGTTCGATATTCTACAGTTCAGGACGGACATGATACAGTGAAAGTTCGCAAAAAACTGATTTGCATGCTGAACTACATATGTTACGGTTGGAATAGTCTTTGCCCACATCACAGTGGGGAATAATATGAGGTTACAGAAAACGGAAACTTATAGAATGGTTAAAAATACAGCTCACTGGCTTAAGATAGTCAACCAAACATTGACCCCGGTGTTGAACCGTAAAAATCCATTTCAAAGCTACAAAAGCATAATCGACAGAGCAAATATTTGCTTATACCTACCGACTACTAGCTTGCTATGATGGTGATCATTATACAACACTGAGTTAAGCAACGCAATAAAATGTGTCGATATTCCAACCAGATGTTTACTGAAAAAAGTGCGAGACGGTAATTATAAGCGAACATTTTGGCCAGCATTGAGCTGTCCATACTAAATACCATTAATAAAGAAAACCTAACCTCAACTCCGTCGTTTGGATGGTTAAATGCAGAAAAATTCGGCGGAATAATTTCAGCTTGACTTGCATTCCTCTAAACTGAGGACTGCGTTAGTTATCGTCACACCGCTTGCTCATCTCCAGTTATATAGACAGAGGATCTCTCATTACTAACGTATTTATCAGGCAGTGGTTAAACAGGAACTGCAACAGTATGAGATAAGCATAACGTTACACAACCTGGAATATCATAAAACAAGAAACTGCCGTAAGCACAAACATGTGTACAATCTCGCGTTAAGTACAACAAGAAATGGCAGAAACTTACTTTTCCGTAGTCAGAAATACGTTTTTAACCAATAGGTATAATTGAAGCTTCTTAAGCAGTGCCTTGATAGCAACCACCAGTCGGCTGGGCTAAACACTGGCACTGAGCAAGGCGACAATGACAGTAAAACTGATTTTCAGATTACCTGCTTGCGCGTGAGCATAAGCACCAGCTTTTGGTAACAGGTCGAGTCGGTAGACGACGGGAAATGCTTGTAGAGGAATGACAGGAAGCCGACCGGGAAGAAGCAGGATGCATCAAGTGCTTTCAGAATATGCAGCTGCATTGGCAAACTCATGTAGTTGTACTCCAAATTGTTCATCAACGTGTTCTGCACCCCGTGTTTCTGAAACCGTCACATCATGTAAATTTGCCATCGCTTCAAAAGACATGAATCAAAGGTAGAGTTGAAAAATTGTCGAGTAAACATAGAAACAAGATATAGACGAGTAATCTGTGGGAGAACAACACAACTCAGAATCGCAAATAACTTTAGGGACGATTTTAAATTTCAGACTACAACAGAGATAATGCTAAGCGACGGCAGGCACTGTTTGTGCGCTTATGTTTATTCTGAATTGCCATGAGCTACGTACTACCTGCAAAACAAATAAACTGTCATATTATATATTAGGCATCGTCCAGGCAAATTATTCAATGAAAGCATCAAAGTCTTCACTTACAGACGAGCAGTCACATGCGCACGGAAGCATCACCATCTTATACCAAGGCCCGCCGTATTTTGCATTATTTTAATGTGCATTTATGCAACTCAAAGTAGAAGAAAATGAATTACTTCTTACAGCGAACAATCAAGGACGCAGAGACTCGGTTGTCAGACACGCTGATCATAATGCAAATTTCTTCGATTTAAGTTGTGATTATAATCGTCATTACCATTGCGCAAAACAGTTCGCTACTTCACGGCGCAAGGCAAAATCTCAGCGAGAACCTATGCGCCTATGGATAAACGGTCAAGGACAATGCAACGCAAAGCTACGGGCACGGTGGGCCAAAAACACTGCAAAACCTGAAGCGAATATTCTGACATGCGGGCATGTGGCCATTACACGGACACTCTGCAAAACCTGAATATCCGTAGTTGGTCCAATCACACCTTTCCTTTATGCAGAGTTCTCCAAATCATCACATAACACTGTTTTCAATGCCACTGACTGAACTGAAAGTCCTGGACGTCCATAGGTAGCTCACTGATTAAAGTTCATGGTTTTGCAACGCACATCATGAGCACTATATACATTTTCGTCTAATACAAGATCGGTCTCATGTTACATTACAATTTTATTAAATTCCGCTTCAATATGTTACTGAAAGTTGTCACATACATTTATGTACGTAGTTTGTTCATACCTCAGCATAAACAGTGCATTGCTTTCAGTGAAATGCTATCAAACTCGTTATTTAATTTGTGCTTACTTCTGTTTTCTGATTACGCTCAAATACAAGATTCTTTGGCGGTCTTATACGTTTAAATGAACATTCCACCAAAACGAGGTAGTAATGTTTTCAAATACAAATATAAATTATTCCTAACTGTTCTGCTACCGAACAGACTTCATGGAACAGCAAATAAACTACTGAAATAGTAGTGCATAATTCCGCCTTTTAAACAATGAAGAGAAGTATTTCAACTGTTCGACGCTCGACAGTACCATGCAATCTAGAAGGTTCAACGATGCCTACTGAATAACTTCGATTTAATGCAGTACTTAGATGAAGATATATCTGAAATTTTGCATGCCTCAAAACAACGCTTTAGAAAATGTTTTAGAAAATCTTCATACAATAAACTTTTCTGCAATCTTCGGTTCAGATATGCATAATGCAGCCACCAACTTGATGCTCGACCTCAAGTGGCGTACGATATATGCCGGTTTCGAGTGTTTCATCACGACTTCGAGTTTAATACCATTTAGACAGAAGCTGATCAACTTGTCCACCAAATCTAAAAACAGTTACAAGCGAAAAACAAACAGGAAAGAACAATAAAACTAGGAGAAGCGACATATGTTTGAACACGATGCGACAAAAAACATACAGTATAAATACATATGCATAGACTGTATTACAAGACAGCTTAAATTTATATCTACGTGTTATACTTAATTCATCTGACAACATAAACTGTTTATTTAACATGGAATCATGCCACAGCTTTATTCAGAGTATTTTTTCATGTACTGGTGAACATATATTCAAAAAGCATAAAAATAGATCGAAACTTCGAACAGTTAGTCTAACAGACCACAACCCACGATTCAGCCCTTGATCTCATCGTCTTTCTTAAAAATACAGTACAGAGATACCGAGACATACATCAATTCAGACTTTCGGACTACCAGGATAAAAATTCACAGCTATGAAAATTTTATTCAACGCCACCATGCCATCTGCACGTTACCCCACAGAGCTCTTCCATCAGGCAAAGATAACTCAAGATTTGGTGCATCTTCCTCCGCTGCACGTTGCTTTTTATTGACAGTGGAAGTGTCTTGTATCTGTATTCGTACATTCCAGTAATTTTTAGTTTATTGGCGCTGTGGAGAGCACAGTCACGAAAAGAAGTGAAATAGTGAACCAATGTACCCAAAACTGATCCAAATATCAGAGTGGAAGTAAAAAAGCAACAGGACGTGAGCCTGGTCTCGTATTATCAACAGTGAACACAGCTATGAAGGATGCTGCCTGTATAAAGGGAATCAACATGAACAAGAAATCGAAGAAGCGGTTGACTCACATCATGACAAGTTATCAAATGAATAACTGAATGAATCAGGGCAGTAAAGGTTGCCAAAGTTGAGGCTTTCGAACCAGAAGAGAAATCGAAACGTCTCGTGATGAAAACTACGAGAATCTCGTTCTGTGAGATATCAGCAGGGACACGATAGGTGACCGACCTTAACACCTTACGGTTACTTAGAGAAATAGGTGACGCATAGCGTGAGATGGATTATTCATAAAGAAAAGGAAGAAGTTACCGTCTACTCACTTCTTGATAATTTCGTAAGGAAAATCGACCAGCGAATTTAAACATTTTTTATCTGTTCATTTTCTCGTAATATTTATGCTATATTATATTACTTTCATTATTAATTACGCGTTTAAAAAAAGTGTTTGCATCCTGTGAATGAAACTAATAAAAATTTTCTTTAAAACACGATAATGTACTAAATTAATGTAAACATAAATAACAGCGCGCTTAACGGGTGCGGATAGGTTAAATAAGTTACCTAAAATTCATGTTAAAGTTAGCGGAACTGTTAAGTACGTCAGGGCCTGCCTGTATTAGCGCTGAAATGGCCATTCAGTCGGTTCCTTTCAAGCCCTAAAGCGTATGACGATAGCTTCATTAAAACCGCACACTCTAGTGAGCGATTGGCTACGCATCTTACAGATCACTACAGAACAGTGATTGGTACCCAATGCTTGAGCCGGAGCTTGTTAATTAAAGAAACTCAAAAAACGCCAGGAGAAAGCCTCATGAAACGCACCGAAGCCAGTAAACTTAAATTGTTACACCTCGCCCCACTTCCTAAAGATCAAGAGCACCTGGGCTATCTAATTAATTCCATCATGCGACTTACAGTGCTGTTAGTCATTCAGTGCTGCAGGAATGTCAATCGCGACACAGGATGCAATGGATAGGCAGGTTGGTTACTTCAACTGTACACAAACTATTCAGGAAATAACACCAACCGGGGTCACGTTTCAATTCCAGCATGTCAAAAACCTTGAGCAGAAACGATAGTTAGCAGAATTTCAAGGAATGTATGAGATACGAGTCGAAGCGCAAATTAAAGATTGAGCATTTTAAGAAACCGGTTGCATCTATTCAAAATGCCTGAAGGATAAGCAGATCATCGGCGTTGGCGATTAACAACAATCAAACACTTTGCAGCACTGATCAAGAATCTACAGGTAGTGATGAACCGGCACTCGAAAGAGGGAAACAGATTTTTAATGTGTATAGCAAGGTACACCATACGGAACCGCTTTAAAACCATCTTAGAAAAATTGGGCTGCCTGTGAAATATCGTCAGCATTTCAACACACAGAGTATTTGGCCAAAATTATTGTCGTCGCAATCATTTTCTTTACCAATCTAAAGTATTACGAATGAAGAAGAATTGGTTACTGGTAGAGTGTGTAGCTGTGCGATGTGGGCTTATTCGATTGGCAGCTATCGACTACACTGCCACTACAGCAATAAAAGATCTGAAACACTGATATAAGTTGTTAGCTGTCACGTATCATCCCCGCAAAACGAATTAGCCGAGCGACTGAAAGTTGCCGACGAGAAAAAACGATACGCGTATTTTCGCCAATGATTTGCCGTTCAGAGGCAATCAGTTGATTGGTGAGAACATTTTTGCCGTGATGCGTGAATCATTCAGAGACAGAAAGAAACAACTAGCTTCTCAGCTAACCAGACAGATGCTGACCTAAATGCAATCTTGTATTGTGAAAGTTAAGCAGGGATATTTATGAGGTTTCGAAAGATCTGCGAAATTAACTCAAATGAATACTTAATAACATGCTTTGTTCGGTACAGTGTATTACATGTATTCACATTTTTTGTTGTATTCGATTGACGAACATCCGTTTACAAGCCAAAGTATCCTAACTCTTCGAAAATAGATTTCGAAGCGTGCTGCACTGCTTCCATGTTCTTGGATGACGTAGGTCACCCAGCGGGCATTTTGCTGTCCCTTTATGCTCCTACATCTGGGTAATATGTAATGTGAACTAATAGGCTTTCAATTTTGGAAAACTAATGTGCTTCTTCCATGTGAAACAGAAATAGGTGAGTGGAATATTCTAACAGTTCAATGTTCAGTTCTGACCGAAAGATAGCCTACTGCGTTCTGGGTGGCCAAGTATGATGAAGCCTAACTGGGATAAATAAGGCAGTAGTTTAGCGCTGCACAAAGTAATTAACATTTTATGGAATGAGAATCCGTAAAAGACATTTTATGTAAGTATATAACGAGCCAGTGAAAGTCTGCTCGTGACAAGCAACGTACATACGAGAGGAATCGCCTGCCCAAATGTCCCCCTCCTTACATCTGGGAGCAGGGTGCGGTGGTTAATGCGTTGGAAAATTATCACTGAACGAGACAATGGCTTATTATGCGGAAAAAAGAAACATTCGCAAATTACTCAAACATCATGTATGAAAAAACTGGTCTAAGAACAACAAACTAAACGGTAAATCGTGCACAGCGTTAACTAAGATTTAGAATACCTCCCCGCTTCTTTTTCTCTACCAAGAACACCAATGCGGGAACAATCAACTCTGGCAGTTCTTCAAGCGACGTTATCCATCTCAAATGAACGGTTATTAGAACAGTAATCAATTGAAACACAAGACTTACAATTCGTCAGGTTGCTTCGTCTGATCACGAAGCACGATGTCTAACAATGATTGCAATCGCTGAGATCCTTCCGGCATTTCTCCATCAAGGCACTTCTCGATTACCTCTTGCATCTCCAACTGATAGGATGAGTATTCCGGTGGACGGAAGTACTAAATTTTAATGGCAATTAATGAGCAACAATTTTCAATTTGTTCTTTCCTGAAATGCACAACATTTCAGTAACAATATTTGAAACATTAAGTATTTTAGATACAAAGCCTTGTCTAACAATATGATGGTTGCAGGCACAAATGGATAATTCCTTCTTAATGCCAGTTGGCCCTTTCTGTATATAATGTTTATATAAGATTTTCTATTTAGAATACTTGGTTTTCAACTAGCAGAAAGAATATGAATTGTGCTGTAACGCACTGTCTATGCTGTATCGAAAACCAACCTGAATAAACATTACAGAAATATTAAAATACAGAAAAAACAGGTATTATCCTGTTTATTTAAACATGGATGAGATGTAGTCCCATATGCGAGGCATAGTATTCTTTGAATGTTTACTTTATAACTCCGCCATGGCCGGTCCCAAGCCCGGATGAGAAAGGAGGAGGGTTGGAGACCGTGACAAGTCTCCGT